TCTGTATCCACACACCCCACTGGTACATCCTAGCTCCCTGTTTACTGTGCAAATGTGCGGTGTCCCTTCTTCCGTATTCCCATTCAAGCCTTACTGACTTCAAATCTGATTTCACAGCGCACAAAGTGGCTGTCTACATGAAGGAGTCCAGGTCTGTCCCAGGCCACTCCTGCTCGGTGCTGCAATAGTAAATGTGTACTGTGGAAGTCTGCGGCCCAGTGTAGGGATCTCCTGCAGTGATTGTCACTCTGAGGAATCTCTGTGACCTTAAGGGGTTGGCCTCCTCTGATCCAGCCCCCTTGGAGTCCTGGGCCACAGCTGTCTCCTGAGGACACCGGGGAAAACATAGGCGCCTCAGTTACTTCAGGCTGCCTTCTGCTGGACCTTCTCAGAACATGCCTTCCAGCAAGGCTGAACGAGCACCATCAAACCCAACTATGCCCCCATATCCATGCACCACGCCTCGGGCACGAGAGAGTCCGCCCCTCACTCAGCGCCCTTAGAAACCACAGATGCCCGAGTTACGCTTATAGAACGCAAGCTTTCCACCCCAGGCAGGTCTGCACGGGCTTCTATTGCCTCAAGCATGATGTCCTCAGCCTCACACACTCCCTGAGCTAGAAAACATACCTGGGAATGCCAAGTATGTGTTCAAGCCCACAAGCCCAGGGCATCCGCACAGCATCTGTAACTCAGTCATGAAGAAAAGTGTCTGCACTCAGATCAGGCCACACTCTCCCCAGTGTGCGTAATCCATGTGGGCATGCCTGTTGCTCCAGGGCATAGAAAAGTCCTAGCATTATCTACAGCCTGCTTAAACATTGTCAGTAGTGCCACCTGCCTCCATCGTTTCAGGCATCACCTCCAGTGCAGTAGCTTCAGCAGTTACCTTTCGGGTGAAAACAGCACTGTCTTACCCAGAGGTGCAGGGAAAAGTGGGCAAGATGGGATCCTGAAATCTCTGTCTCAGCACATGCTTCGGCCCCGTGCCCGAAGGCCTTCTATCAAGAACTTGCACGCAGCCCCCGTGTTCCAGGTTAATTCACATTTTCTCCAGATGGGAACTTGCAGGTGGCTTCCCTCCCTGTGGTAAGACAGACGGGGCGGGGGGGGAGAGGGAACAGTCTGGTGAGAGGGTGCATGAAGGGTACAAAGATCATTGCTCACTCACGGGGCCAGAGATACACAGAGAGTCCCATATGATGTGCTGGTGGGTCAGAGAGAAACCCCAGCCGCTCATCCCGTAATGCCCAGCTAGCTGAGGTTTGACCCAACCGTGAGTGAGTAAAGATTCACACCCTGACACAAACTGATAGCTGTCGAGGGAACACATTCTGCTCCTTCCTCAGGCATTCACTGATTTTACCTCAGTCTGCCCAGCTGAGATTAGTGACCAGTTTAGAGGCAGCCCTCTTTTGGACGCACGTCTTGTCAGGTCTCCAGGCCAAGAGACTGGAGACCTTACCTTGGCTTCATCCCTGCAAGTGAACTGGCCATGCTCGAGCCCGGGTCTCCCCCCAAACCCCCTCCCCGCCGTTTACCTCCTCCTTAGATGCCTTCAGGCTCCTCCCAGACAACACAAGCCACAACTATCTCGGGTAAGGTGCTGTCACACGAAAACGGTCAGGAGCACATGTGACAATCGTCGCCAAACAGAGACGAGGCATCCATTTACGTGGGTTGGTGATCTATGCTCTCGGGGCCTGAAACGATAAAGCTGGCACCAGAGAGGTGTCACCTGAGGACAAAGAGACAGGGCTGGCTGAGCAGCCAGCCCTTGGGGCTTCGCTTCAAACAGTAGTAGTGAGAACCTCTCCTGTCCCATGAAAGAGCAAGCACGCTCCCGAGGCACACTCACAGGCTCAGCTCACACTCACTCAGGCTGGCTGCAGGCACCTACCTACGCGCTTTGCCTGTCTGTCTAGCGACTCCACCTCTCCGGTCTGAGTATCCGGTCTGAGTATCCTTCGCAAATGTATCTGTAACCAGGAAAGAATGGCTTGTCCCCGTTGTCATGGCAACCACAGTGTCATCGGGAAAAAAAAAAAAAAAACAACATTCTCTCCTAGTAGCCAGTTCTCTGTGGAAATCAGGACGTACTAATCCACCCAGGAGGCTGACTGTTCTCTTACATCTCTGTCACCTAGCTCCCCCCACACCTCCGCCAATCCCCGGCAACGGCATGCACAAAAGAAAGTAAGCATCCACACACATACTACAGAAGGTGATGCTGACATTCCAGGGCCCAGGGGGCCTTGGTGCAGGGGCTTTGACCACAGAGTGTCTGGGAGAAGGCAAGGCAAGAGGAGACAGAGTCCTTTCTGCCGTCTTCATACAATTATACCAGGCAGCAGGGGCCAGATGTGAGAAGAACACTTTTTCACCTGCCAGAATTCTGAAGGCAGGCAGGTTGTTCCTCCAGATGCAAATTAAGTGTTTTAGGTCACTTGGCAGAAAATAGGGAGGACCGTAGACCTGCGGGAATTCAGGTGACAACGTCATCAAATAAGGAAATAAATAAATATAAAGTAAATAAATTAATAAATCTCAAAACTCGAGGAGGAAGGATAGAGAGCAAATTTCAACTGGCGGGAGGCTGGGGAAACCTCAAAATCCACCCACAGTAGCATATGTCCTCCCTCAGTGCCACATGCCCCGACAACCCCAAACAGTGCCATCTATTAGGAAACAAGGATTCAAAAACCTCAGGCTGTGGAAGATATCTCATTCAAATCAACACACACACACACACACACACACACACACACACACGCGCGCGCGCGCGCCCGCGCACACACACACACATGCACCACACACACACACACACACACACACACACACGGGGGGGGGCACGACTGTGTTCCTTTAAGCTGCCTCAAGGCATGTCTACTACTCCAGGCATCCTCCCTGCATCTAGTATGATGCTTTCTCATCCGATCAGATGACACCATTTTGGAAAGTTCGCCTCTTCAGGGTTTTTCTGCTTTTCTCACGGCACATACATGGATCCTTACAGAGTATGCATTTTGCCTGACTGCTTTCTCTTAAAATACTGCCAGCGTTCATGGAGTGGCAGTACATTCCTTCTCAGGACTGAGTAGCATTGTGTTGTGCTGATGTACTATGCCCGGTATATCTCTTTTTCATGAGGAGGTATTGTGGGACTTCCCCACTGTGAGTAAGGCTGCCATGAGCTTTGGCATACCTACATTTGCTCAAATGCTTCTAGTCAGGCAATAGGCCCATACCTAGGGATGGAGTGACTGTGTGATGGGCTGATGGAACATTACCCGTTTTGATGAACACAAAGGTGCTCCCCACGGTAGATACAGCATTGCAAATCTCCACAGCAGCAAGGCCTTGGGATTCTTCCTATGATTAACAGTAGTCCTCAGTTTCCTTCCAAAATAGTCGAGTAACTTGTGTGTGTGTATGAGTGTGTCTGCATGTGTGTGTGCATATGTCTGCATGTGTCTGCATACGTGTCTGTGCATGTGTGTGTGTGTGTGTGTGTGTTAGTGGGGGAGTGTGAACTTCACTGCTGTCAAATTATGTCTGTTGCATTCCCTAAGATCAGATATCATGGAACTTGTGTCCCGATTGGGCTTCATGCATGCCCAGATGATGTGGTGGCAAGGCATGGTCATTGCAGATCCAGAGTCCTTGGGGGAGGACAGTAGGACCATGAAGTGTCAGGGCCCAAGCTGAACAGTACAGTGACAGCCAGGAGTCTCACTCCTCCTTTGTGTGGGACAAAGGTCCTGAAGGCAACCAGAAACCGGGCCCTGGATACTACAGGCCTAAAAAGGCCAGGCTGGAGACTGTGCAGTGGACAGGGGACTAGGGACCTCCTGTTCTGCCCCTTGTGTACTTTTGCAGTCATCACTGGACACCTGGATTCTCCAGAGAAGCAGCCATGAGTGGTACTCAGACAGGAGGGGCACAACCACAGACGTGAGTCAAGCGTGAACAGCTACAAGCCCTAAGTTACACTCGAGTGGCTGCTGGATGGGTGTCCCTTAGGAGCACTTTCAGCTAGTGTCACGCATGCTTGCCGGCTTCTCTAGAGAGGCCAGCACCCTTAGTTTCCAGAAGTGAGGACGAACCCTGGGAAAGGAGGACCTCTGGTGACTGTCATGAAGCATGTCTATGGGTGAGTGACTATGTGTTAGGGCCCATGAGGTGATGTCATGGGCCTCACTTCCACCCTGGGGTGGACAAGGGCCAAAAGGGCTTCCTGGGCAAGCTTTGTGAAGGTGTTAGGGACCCCAAGGAGTGGGCAGGACTGCGTGTGTGCTCCCGCAGAGACGAGGAACCTTCCACATGGCCCTTCCAGTACCCTCCGGGTAGCCCTGCCGTTCTGCACAGGTCTATACTTCTGTACGCTGGCGCACCGCAAGCAGGGGGCAGAGGTGTTCCTGGCACTTTCAGCCCTTCCTAGGTGAGTTCCCAGCTTATGCATGCACAACCACAACCGTAAGCTCCAAGTCAAGTATGTGTTATTACGGGGTGGGCCTCAAGATGGCGAGGCTCACCCACGCAGACATGGTTTCCCACAGAGGTATGCAGCACTTTCTGCAAAGTGAGGTGAGGCATACCTGGGACGCCCCCTGGGGGACCAAGAGGGTCTCAGGATGGTGGTGAGCTGTGTCGTCCCTCTAGGTGAGTGACTAGGTATTGGGGTCCCAGGATAGTCCCAGAGGTGACGACATCTGCAGCCCGAATTCCACCGTGGCGTGGGGGAGGCCAGGAAGGGCCCTGTGGGAAAGCTTTGATAGGAAGCAGGGATGGAGAAGGGTGGGCAGGACAGGGCAGCACGTGTGCTCATAGCAGGATCAGGGCCCGGCCCCGTGTGGCCCTTTCCGAAGCCTTTGGGCAGAGGAGACATTTGTGCGGGCCCACAGGGCCACAGTCGGGCCCGTTTGAAACAAGAGTCTGGGCGTTTCAGGTCCTCCGGGGCCTTCAAGAGTAATTTCCTGTCCACGCCTGCGCAGTGGCAGCTGGGCTGAGGCGAGGCAAAGGATTGGACAGGCGCGCACGCATGCGCCCTTGCGCATGTTCGCGTATTTTCCGGAAGTGAGGACTAACTAGCTGTGAGCACCGTCGAGGGGAAGCAGAGTTTCGGGCCGCCGTCCTGAGACCTGCTCCTCTAGGTGAGTGGCGAGGTATTAGGACTCAGGATGTTCCCTGGGGTGATGTCTGGCTCCTAAGTTCCACACTGAGTGGCCTAGGCCCCAGGAGGGAAGTCTAGGAAGGCTTCCTGAGGGACTAGGGACAGAGGAGGGCACCAAGCAGCACGCACGCACGGAGCACGACTGGGGACCTTCCACATGGCCCTTTCTCAGATCTTTGGGTACTTCAGATGTTCTCTCGGTCCACATGCCCACGGGTGGGCCTGTTTGAAAGAGGGGTGCGGGTCCTCGCAAGCCTCAAGACCTCGGTGTCTCGCATGCACATGCTCAGCCCGAACACCCAAGTCACGCATGCCTGAGTGCCAGGTGGGCCTCGGCAAGGTGGCGGCGGGGGGTGGGGGCGGGGCTGGGGTGGGGTGGGGGGGTGTTGAGCTGGCAGGGTTCACACATGCACAAACGCTTTCCACTGAGGCGGAACACTTCCGGAAGTGAGGTCGCTGCAGCCGGGACTACCCTCGAGGGTGAGAGTGGTTTGTGGGGGCGGCGGTTGCTGTGAGATGCGTTCTCCTAGCTGAGCAGACAGGTATTGGAAGCCGCCTGAGTGCATGAAGTGACTTCCGGAGCCTGAATCATCTGTCGAGTTGGAAAAGGCCCGGGAGGGAGGGCAGCCTGGGAAAGGGTTGTCAGGGCCACAGGGGCTGAGAGGAGTGGGCAGGACGGCCTGTGTGCTGCTGGAGTGTCTAGGGACCTTCTGGCCATACTGCAGACATTCTTCCCGGCCCATATTTCCCCAGGTGGGACCAGTTAAAAGAGGGTTGTGGGTGTTGCAGTACATTCTCGGCCTGACTTGTGCAGTTTCTGGTACACGCGGTTTCAGGTTCTCGAAAGTTTCAGTGCATGCAGACACAGACTCAATTCCCACCCCTGCCCAGCCGCCGCCTCCTCCGCCTCTGTGGCCTCCACCGCCCTGCCTCTCACTCAGTCAGAAGCCTGCTTTGCCAGATGGAGCGATGCTTACTTTCTGGGAAGTCTGGCTAGGTGTGACCCACCTTGGCGGGTAGGGAGGGTCTCTGGGGGATCACTGTGAATCCAGGCCACCTAGGTCTGTGACGAGGCATGGGGACCCAGGATAGCCCATGATGTCCAGAGCCTCACTCCCGAAGGCCAGATTGAGCAACCGGCAAAGCCGTGTTGGGGCTGCAGGGCCCTAGGGTTAGGTGAGTGGGCAGGACAGTTTTGCCCGCTGGGGTAGGGACCTTCCAGGAGGCACATTCGGTACTCCTTGGGTACTTTGCAGACTGGTCCCGGGAGAGAGCTAGGTAGGCAGGCTCGCTGAACAGGGAGGGTGCTCCGAGCCTTTCCTGTCCTTAATAGTGCAGGCCCCATTTCAGGTGCGTTCGGGTGCAAGTCCCGAGTCCCTCCGAGCCATGGTTTCTGGGTGGGACAAGGTTAGCTAGGCCGACATGCCTTTCCTGCTCTTCCAGAAGCAGGGAGTCTTAGGTTCAGGAATCGAGGACTAAACGAAGTGTGACTGCTCTGGAGTGGAAGGATGGTCTTTGGGTGGGGGTGGGGGTGGGATGGGGATGGGGAGGGGTGAGGAAGCTCCACCTCGGTGAGTGACTAGTTATTAGGGCCCGAGTAGCCCTTGAGGTGATGCCTGGAGCCTCACTTCTGCATCAGACTGCAAGCAGGAGGAGGGTCGGGCGGGGGGGAGCGAGATCTGAGAAAGCTTGCTCAGGACCACAGGTCCCTGGAGGAGTGGGCAGGACAGCATGTGTTCTGGGAAAGGAAATCCAGTCTCCTCCTGGCCCTGTTACTGGGGTTCCCAGCTCAGCCATGTACACCACCTGCAGGACCAAGTCAGTCCCCGCGTCTCACCCTTCAGCACCCTGGAGCAGGTTCACACATGCCTGCATGCTGCTCCTCCTAACCAGGAATCATGCCATTCAGGGAAAGGGGGCCTACTCAGGTGGGACAAGCCTCCCAGGGGAAGAAAGCTCTCAGGGGAAAGTGGCTGAAGCGTGATCACCTAACCTGAGTGGGTCCCTGTTCTGAGGTTCTGGTGGTCAAAAAATCAGAGCCAGCCTGGATCCACAGTGCAGGGTGGTGGCACAGAATGGGACCCCAGGGTGTCGCAGACCTCCCTGGTTGTGTTGATTTCTGCAAGCCTCCCTTCTGCAAGGGGCCAGACAGAATCCCAGGCTCCGCAGGTACTAGAAGATGTGCGGGTTACACAGTGAGGGGTGGGGAAGAGCATGGAAGGTCCCCATTGCCGCTGGTCAACACCGGATGTGTGTCCCCAACTCCACTTGTGATGTCTGCTGGGCCCTTTCACGCATGGCAACTGCTGGGCCCGAGACAGGCAAGTGAGACCCATCTGTTGCAAGAGCACCTCCCAGGCCCTACCTCATGAGTTTGCATGGAACTCTCAGACCACACGTTCATCTGTGCCACATTGGCCTCAACCAAGGATGGATGCTTGGTCCACCGCAGGCAAGTGTGCCTGCTGGGCCATTGCACACCTGTACGCATGCGTGAGCACGCACAAAAACACACACAGACACACCCTCATGTATGTGTACCAGCTGGGCCCACATGCTGGGGCCTTCCTCATCTATAGGTGCTGTTCCAGCCAATCAAAGCATGTTTGTGGAGGCGGGCAGTATCAAGGTGTTACCTTCCTATAAAGAGAAGGGGGTTGTTGAGGGGAGGGCCTTGGAATAGGAATTGTCTTGGTGGCTGGCTGGTTATTAAAGGGTGCTCCTGTAAAGTCAGATGGTGGGGAAACTGTGTCAGAGAGTTTGTTTCCAGTGCCTCCTGTGTGTGTGTGTGTGTGTGTGTGTGTGTGTGTGTGTGTGTGTGTGTTGGGTTTCCCAAGATGCCGTGGTCCCTGAGTTGCTTCTGAGACATCCAGAATGAGAGTGAGTAAGGATTTCACCTGAGTGTGCGTGGTAGATCCAAGCTTGGCCTGTGAGGTGAAGTCCAGGTGCAAATAGAAGGGCCCCGGGGGGTTGTACTTCCTCACAGTCAGGTATGGACTGTCATGGGTTTCCGTATAAACTCCGTGGCAAGCAGAGTAGCGATCCTCGTGAGTCAGGAAGGAAAATCCGTTTCAATGCACCCTAGTTAATGAGCAGACGCTGGTTCAGACTTCTAGAGTCTGACCCAGAAGCAGTTTATTTTAGACATATCAAAGTACACTACATTTTTGGAACAAAGTTCCCTGGTAACGATTATCTCAGCCTCGTGTGCAGAATGAAGATTAAGGCATAACTCCATAGAAGGTCTCTTGCAACGGACACATGACCCCTCCCATGAATGTGGGTTCCATATCTTAGAGCCCTAGGATCTGACATGGCTTCAGTCATGCAGAGAGTACAGAGGTCACCGGGTTGTAACGTACATGGGACATCTCCCTGAAGGATAGGCTCCGTTGACTGGGAAGCCAAACTAACAATGAAGGCCTAGGGAGGGAGGGTCTGGGAAAACCCTATTAATCTGGGAGATCCAGGTGTGACCTGGCCCTGTAGACAGCACAGATCACCAAGCCGTAAACAACATCCACTCCCAACCTTCTAGTTGGCAGACAGATGTACTCATCTGTTCTGTTGAAGAGTCAAGCCTGTGTGCTTAACATTCCTGGTGCCCACAGCGCTTCCCTGCGAGCACAGAGACCCCGATGCCCTCATACAGACGGCATGCCACTTTGTGCGAGTACATTGGGGAATCTCTGCATTTGCCTCCTGTGTGTGTTCCTTGGGTCTTTCCAGGATGCCTGGGTCCCTGAGTTGCTTCTGACAGTGGGTAGGGATTTCACCTGAGTGTGCAGCACGATTCAAGCAGTAAGTGCCCAGACATGGCTCCGGTGACTGCATTGGCCATCAGTGGGTTGGTGTTTGTGATTAGACACCAGTATTGGGCCACTGGGTCTGGGGGCTAGCCCAAGCTTGGCCTATCCTGGGGACAAGAATTCAGCAGAAAGGGCCGAGATTGAGGCCTACGGGGTTGCGGAGAGCTCTGCGTCCTGCCAGAAAAGGAAAGGGACGGGGGACAGAATATGATTGGATGTGGTGATATATATCGGTGTCCCCCTCCTGCGCCTCTTTGCTCCAGCACAGCAAGTGCCAGGACACATGGCCAAAGCCTGTGGAGCCCTGGTCCATGTTTCCATTGCTGTCATGAAATTCTTCTCGGTGTCTTTACTGTGCACGCCAACATTTCAGGAGTCCTGCCCAGCCCAGCCCAGCAAGGCCCCAAGCCATGTCAACCAAGGAAGAGAAAGACATGGAGAGGAGTGCCAAGCGCCCAAGGGTTGATCCAAATCTCCCATCAGATGACTCCCAGAACCCCGATGCCATCATGCCCGGTAACAACTGATATGGGGCATATGTGGCTGTGCCTAACCAAGGGGATATTCTACTACTCCTTGACAGGTGGAGCACAGGGCTGGCCTGGTACTAACCAGGTCATCCTATGGGGCTCCAGGGGTAGGGTGTGGCGGGGGGGGGGATTCAGGTGCTGAGATCTGATTCTCAAGCATGTTCTGGGTTTCTGTCCCCAACTGATGTTCTCACCCCATGGCGGAAGTACAAGGCTCACAGGGCCATTGGTCCTGGCCAGCATGCCTCTGAAGAAGTCCATGGGTCACGGTGAACTTCCTTGAAAGTCTTGCACAAATACATGTACCTGCTATCCCCAGACACTGGCTGAGCTGAATTTCACCTGAGTGGGGGGTAGGGGGTGGGGGATGGGAGGTGGGGGATGGGGTGGAGGGTGGGCATTGGTTCCTGGAAGACTACTTTGACACTGTTGTTGCAACAGGCACGGGCTCAGCCAACCCAGAGTGGAGCTGTTTCCCGTGTGGGGTGATTGTTCATTCACAAAGGTGTTCCCTTTCTTCTCAATGCAGCAAAGAATCCAGCAGTTGATACCAGTGAGGTGGGCAGCTGTTACTCAGGATCAGATGTGCAAGAGGCGAGGTGATGTCTTAAAGGAAATTTGACCTGCCCCAGGAGGTGGTGTCAGTGTGGTTTTATGCAGGCATACAAAGAAAATTATGTCCTTGGCTGGAAGATGGATCCAAACAGAGAGTTTGGTGTTAAGTGAAAGCAGCCAGCACCTAAGAGACTACAGTCACCTGTTTTCCCTCTGAGGATCCTAGATTATAAAGCAGGTCCATACAAGGAGAAAACCCAAGCCCAGAAGGGAGACTGGGGAGAGGTGGGCAAAGGCTTGGGGAGCAGACGCTGACTCTGGAGGTTGAATATGGTCACGTGGTATGGAAGTTGAAGAGAGGCTTGTCTGGGTGATAGAGCAGGCCTAGCAGGAGGGCACTGAGGAAGGATGAGAATGAATATGGCTGATGGCTGGAGTGCACGACACATGGGTGAGTACGCCTTTATGAACCCCATCGCTGCCGTACAGTGAATGGATTCTGGTAAGCATTTAGTACAAAACCCCTATACTGCCACAACATAACAGGAAGTCACTGCTTGAGGAGTGGAGACACTTTTCATGGAGCTTTTATCTGCCTGAAGTTGGGCAGGGAATGCCGGGGAGGCAGTTGTCACAGTCATCCAACACCCAGCCTGAGGTTGGTTTCCTGGGGATACAGGTGACTATGAATCACCCATGCTCCAGCAAGCAGCCCTTGCCCATGTGCCCGTATGAACCTGCAGCGAACTCAGTTGGTTCACCATGAATACATGAAGGAAGGAATTAAAAACAGTGACCCAAAGAGGGGAACATCCGGCTTTCCCCCACATAAGTGCTAGTCTCTGCAAAACCACATGCCTCACCTTTCTTTCAAAGCAAACTTTGGATGTTTGTCTCCACTTAAGTATTCTTGTGTGCGTTTTCCACAGGGAGCCTGTTCAGAAGAGGACACAGGATTTCAAAGGTGTGTTTGAGCAGATGTTGCTATCCCAGAGCTCTCTCTCTCCGAGCCCACAACTTACTCGTGGTGAGAGAACCTGGGCACCAGCCAACAGGACTCTCTGTTAGAGTTCCATGGCACAGAGGGTTTTGTTTTCGTTTTCCTTTTTGCTCTTGTTTTTTGTGGAAGGGTATATTGCCATTTGTCCTCCTGGGGTGTGAGGGTGTGGGGGGTGGCGGTGGTGGGTACCACTAGCTTGACCTTAGCTAGCTGCTCTGAACAGGGTGCTGGGGTAGCTTTCACTGAGTCAGTGGGGAGTGTTTCCTGCTTCCTGCATTGATTGCTGAAGAGTGTTACTAGAGATGATGGCAAGCACATAAATCTCTGCTTTTTATCTTACTGCACCAGTGGTATGTCACATTTCAACAACTGTTTTTCACATTCTGAATCAAGTCATTTTTCTGGGTTTCTGAAGTCGCTCTCCTCCAGGAAGCCCTGCCAAAGAGGGCATGGAATACAGCCTGAGGGCCAAATGTGAATCTCTGAGCCTGTCAGGGAATGTCAAAGGCAGCCACGCTGTGGCCGTGGAACAAAAGTGTGTGTGTGTGTGTGATAGCATGCAAACATCATGCATGCCACACGAGCTCGCTCTCTGTCTTCAACGGTAACCAAGTCAGTGTAACCACACTCCACCCTCCAAGCTGAGGCAGCTTTTATTCACTTGTGTAGGCGGTCCTCAAAGAGCATTACTAGAGAGGCATCGTCAATTCTTAGGCAGCGTATAGAGTCAATTCATACAAGCCAGGGTGTCTGACTTCTGACAGCATTGCGCTTCCTGATACAGAGGAGCTGCTGCTTAGGCTCTCAGGTATCCAGAAAATGGTTTGTCAGTGGCGGTCACTCGTCAAAGCACGATGCCCCCATGCCTGTATGCCTAGCACTTAGGAAGTGGAGGGAGGAGAATCGGGAACTGGAGGTCACCCTCACTTGCCTCTCAGGTTTGAGACCAGCCTGGGCTACTCGTGACCTGGTCTATAATTAAAAAAATACAGCGAAGAGCAAAATGGACAGAGGATCTATAGATACTCTTACTGCTCTGTAGGAGATGTGTCAGGGATGAAAACGTGCCTCTTCCTCCGGATAATTGGTTAACGTGATACCATTTCCTTTCTCGTATAAGGTAGCATTATCCAGTCCCTTCTGGCAAAGAGGAAGCAGTTTGAAAAGGACATAAATGCCTCTTTCCGAAGCCTGAACAAAAACCTGCAGAGTATTTTCAGAACCCAACAGAAGTCAAGGTAGAGTTCCGACCCTCTGTAAAATTAGACCCGTACAACTTTTCCTCTTCCTTGCACAGTCACTCCTGCCTGCCATGGTGACCCTGCACAGAGTGGAATTGCTAATGGGACCTATGTAGCAATGTATTGTCTCTGTGAGCTAGCCATGCTCATAGCTGGCAGCATCCCCCTTTTACATAGCTGAGATGTGTTAGCTGCCAGGTGGGCAAGAGAACAATCTCTCCCCTATCAAGTAGCAAGGCAGATAACTTTCTGTAGGGAAGGACAGTCTTCTAGGGTCTAGAAAACGGTACCTATTAGGAGATACCACCCCTGCTCCTTTTGGTAAATTGTTGTGCCCGTGTGGGGAAAGGATCCTATGCGTTCTTCTTGTCTGTAAGTGACATAGGATGAAGGGTATGTTGCCTTCACAATATGGGCTTTGACTCTCAGAATCTATAGGTTACTCCATTAGGGGAAGCGAAGATGAGTCTAGTTTTAAGTCAGAAATGCAATCTTGGGAATGGTGTGCATCAGAGCATCCTAGGTGTTTGAGAGGGAAGACACGTGAAATGACATCACTGGTAGCTAATTAAAGCAAAATTCTTCAGGGTTGGGATCACATTTCTCCTGCCTCTCAAGAGTCGCTTAAATCCCCTTTCTCTTTTGCTCCTGGCTCTTGTTTCAAAAGGATGAGTGTGTGTGTTATTGCCTTGGCCTCACGCGGTGTGACAAAGCTCAGGAATTGATACTGTGTTTTACAGGCAGGAACTTCACTCCATGCACTCACAGATATTTGAGTCCCTGTATCACAAGTGGCTGGACGAGGTGGGGAGAGCAAGGGAGCAAGAAGACCACCTCAACGTGAGTGTTGCTCTTGGCTTGGAATAGATCCGCTGTGCCCCTTCCCAAAGTGGCAGGGCTTCAGTGCAGCAGGTCTCGAGGGACAGGACAGGACAGGACAGGACAGGAGCATGAGGGAGACGAGGAGGGTGGTGGATGTGGCCTGGAGGGGCTGGCCGTCCTCTCTGGCTTGCTTCTTTTTCTGTGAGGGGAGGTGTGTTCATGGGTTAGGAGCCAGCATAGGAGTGAGGCTGAGTGGACACTGCCTGAAGAGTGCAGGAGAAGGTATGGGCTTGTATGCTCAGAGGGAGCCCTTTGTGATCCACACAGTGCAGCTGCAAAACAGTACAGGACAGACGGGGTGGAAGTGGGGTGGGGTCCCGGGTAGCCTTCTGACACAGTGGTCAGGGAGGCAGAGGGAGAGCAGTCAGTGTGGCTGTGCCGGAGCAGGTGGAGGCTTGGCGTTCGTGGACGCCGAGCAGCGCTGTCTTTGAGGGATCTTTCATCCTGATGGAGGACAGAACCATACTGCCAAAGGCCCTGCCTTCCAAAGGTGGGGAAGCAGCGCCTGGGATCAGGGGGGACATGGAGGCAGCTTTCAGTCTGGCGGCCAGGAGCATGTCCTCTGAACGCCACTGATGGGGATGCAGCCACAGTCCTGACACCTGTGAAAGCCCGGGGGCATAATTAACCTCCCTGCCTCAGTTTCCTAGGAGTCAAAGCAGACCTGTGAAGAATCCATACCTTTCTAGATTTTGTGTATTGAGTGGTTTCATTTTTTACATGTTGCTATGGAATGTTTGACCTCGTGAGCTGATGTGTGTTTGCCATTTGTCTTCGAGGCCCTTCTTATTTGGGTGGTAATGTAGTTGATGGAATGTCTCAATCTGGGGAATGACTGATTGGTGAGGATGATTAGGTCAAACCTCTTTCTATTCTTCCTTTTTGGAAAGAAGGGCTTCCTTGGAAGCTAATGTGTCCTCATCATATTAAAAAATATGTTATGGCCAGGCAGTGGTGGCACACGCCTTGAATCCCAGCACTCGGGAGACAGAGACAGGCGGGTCTTTGTGAGTTCGAGGCCGGCTGGTCCGACAGCCTCCAAAACAATACAGAGAAACCCTGTCTCGTAAAACCAAATAAATAAATAAAAATATTTTATGTAAACAAAGGAATTCTTTGTACTTAATTTTGGTAAGGTGAGGAGCCACAGATTATTAGGTGGGTCTTATTGACAATTTCAAAATAATTATTTCATAGGATTTTTGCACAGGCCTGACAAGACTATCGCAATCTGTGACTGGTCAGACCATGGTACGTTGCTTTTGGCATTGAAGGCCATTTCTTCAATCTTGTTCATCACGAGTGTCACAACACAAAGCGTCAAGGGATCAGTTCCTGTAAGCAGGGCTGGATGTTCATTTTTACTGACATTTTTTCATTGATTTCCTCTATTTCAGCGTATAGCTCAGCAACAGATGAAGATCTTACAGAAAGCTATAGAGGATCATGAAACCAAGATTGAAAACGCTAAAGATCTATGCAATGCATTTTTGAAGGTCTGGTAGAGTGCACTCGTTGACAGAACACACCCTCATGTCACACCATGTGTCTATAAAAGCAGAAGACAGATTGGCCCTTTCTCAGTTTGTGGGAGAAGCAATTAGTTTTGAAAACTGTGATCACACTCTCCTTGGAATATTTTCCCACACATAGGAGAAATGCTATGGTTTGTTTAGCTTGGGAAGCTGATGACAGGGTTGGGGACAGTGTTCTAGCACGGAAGCCGATGACTGGAAATCTGCTTAGAAAGGAGCACACTGCATCGCAGTGATGAGTTATTGACCTCTATCTGATTTCAATGGAAATCACCAAGTCTGGGATACTTCTGGTGTTCTTTGACTTGTTTTGATTGGACAGGCCAGCGAAATAAGTAAAAGGACAAGGGCACTTTTAATTTTCTTTCAGGTTCAGTGTTTTTGCAGACTTCTGACATTAGCATTGTACTTGATTATTTATTGGTGGCCATGCATTTCAGCAGCTCCCCTGCTGATGTAGGGAATGAAAAAGCTGGTAGAGGATTAACCCTCTTTGAATTGAGGGCTTGGATCTGGCAATTGTACTGTTACTGAAGCTCCTGGTGCTAAGTGACACCTACATACCCAGGAGTTGAAGCAGCCCTTCAATGGGAATTCTTTTTGATGCTCATTAAAATAGATTATGAAATATCTCTCCTCAGATCTGATTCAGATGCCTTAACTAAAGTGCTCAGTGTGTCATAGTAAACTAAGTGTTTTCAGGGTGCCGGCGAGAAGCTAGGTCTGTTTTTGCTGAGCAAGCATGAGTTCACCAGATAGTACCCTAGCGAATATCCCTAGCAGCCATGTGTAGTCCAGGCATGGCGCCATTCCCCTATGGCCCCAGAGAAGTGAGGCTAGAGACATAAAGGATCCCTGGGGCTTGTGGGACCACCATTCCAGCCAAATTGGAAAACTCTGTGTTTAGTGAGACACACTGCCTCAAAAAGTAATGTGGTGAGCGGTTCAGGACGGTACACGGACACCCTAGCACACATGTAGGTATGCCAACACGTACACGTGAAGGACATGACCTTGAGTTATTTTAATGACCTCTGGTCTCCACACTCAAGCACACATCCATGCACACCCTCCTGCACACAGCCATGCACACAGAAAAGTAAAACTGAATTTTCAAGACCCCGGGAGCCCTCTGCATACATCCAGTCCTTTAGGAAGAGCTTAAGAAAAGGGGACATGCAGCTTGAATGCAGATAAATACTGCTTGGGAGCTGGTTGAAAGAACCGACCAGAAAGGCTTGCTTCCGACTGAGTGCTCAGTGTGAGCAGCACCACAGAAGGAGCCTTGTGCCTGGACCTCTCTGGCTTCCCAGATGATCCCTGCCCTTCTGCCCTGTGCCCTTCTGCCTCTCCCACTCTCTAGATCGCCCTCTGCCTCTCCATCCCAGGCTTCCCTCCTTTCCTAGTCCTGGGCTCTGCCTCTGAGGGACTGGTGTCCTCAAACATGGAGTTTCCCTCTTCCAGATTTCCCGGTGGCCTTCCTTCTCAATTCTCTCTGTTCCCTGTGTCCTCTGAGCAACTGCCGCTCCCATCCCCCCTCTACACACACACACACACACACACACTCTCCCTCTTGGAGGCTTCACCAGCTGCTTGCTTCCCTCCTCCCAGTGCACCAGCTT